ACCTGGTAACTGACGAAGTATGATGACACGCTGTGCTTGCTCACTTCCTCTTCAACCCTTACCATCATTGTGCTACAATTGTGTCGGCGCGTGTTGTGAATTTCGGCAAGCGATGGAACAACGTATATGAGTGCAGAAACTCTAATTACTCCTCCAACACTCCCACCACATTGGAGCTGACATTGCCGCCTCAACTAGTTCACAAATCAATTATAACGTATAGCCTGGGATCAAGGTATTGGCAGTCTAATCACTTAACCTTATAAAGTTCATGTTGCTAAAGAACATGATTATTCACCTTGATAGAGTTAAAGTATTGCAGTACCTGACCAAGCCTTTGTTTTCTGATGCATCCGTCCTTCCACAAATGACTTCCCTGTTTGATACGAGCTGACCTGGTCGGTACTATAAAGCGACCCACGAACTGAGCATCAGGCGTGAAAAGTCACTGCTGTCGCTCCACTGCAGTCAGAAATAAGGTTGATATATGTTAAAAAAGAAGCATTTTAAAATGACTTTAATGTATAATAAAAATACTATACAGAATTAACATCACAAGATATCTGTATATAGTGTGTGTTTGGGAAAAACGGTTTTCATATTCATGATGCAGACTCCATTTCTTTGGGAAGGTTGAATAGCCTTTGGTAAAGATACATGGTTTTATTCATTGGTTTCTGTATTTGAGGTTAAACACTACCCACGAAAGCTCATAAAGGAGATTACTGTAGTAACAAAATCATCTTAACTCCTGTGGTGGAGGCTGAACAGTAATTGAAAAGCAGGGCGTGGGCAAAATAATAATCAAAAGTTTGGGCAAGTGATCAACACAAAAAACAAAGACAGGATATGGAACAGCACTGAGGGAAGAGAAAAGGACAAAACACTGCAATTAACACTCAAAACTTTGCTATCTGAGCCTTGCGCCTCTGATATTGTCGTGAGCAAAAGTTGAGACACAAAGGATGAGACACTAGATGAGACACCATAGAGAGACACATAGATGAACAGGTGCGTTGCAAAGCTTTTGCCTGTGAGTGTTGGCTCCCATCGGTACACATGTAACACTTTGTTTTGTTTGCAGGCTTGTAAGGTTAGACTAATGGTGTGCATTTGTGAGTTACACATGATACGTTAAATCTCAGGTACAGTTTCACAGACATAAGGGATGCAGAAACACGCTTTACAAAAGGAATACATCAGGCATTGTGAGATGCAAAATAGGGGTTACTGCATTGTCAACATTGCATGCTAGTGGATTTACTATCCCAGTAGCATTGTATGTTTTAACTCCAATCACAACATTTTTTTTGAGTTGTTAAGCTCAAACACCCACATATCGTATCACTAAAATAATGTGTCACATTAAAGGCTGCATCACCCGGAGTGTTCACTGTGTGCATGCTTCTGTGCTGCTCTTCTCCAATTCCTAATGCTGGTGGAGTGAGTCATCCACATCCTCCACTGAGAAATCAAGAGGTTATCACGGCAGTGCGGCTATTTATAGAACCTTCCTCCTATGAGTCACAACCATTTTTCAACCCATTTTGAAGTTAGAACTGCAGAGTTGTTTCCAACAAGCCTTTTATCTTGCTCGATCATTACAACATAATTTTGGATAATGTTTTCTAATCTGCTATTTTAGCTTGACCTCTACCCTGAGAATTAATAGCATAGACCTGGTATTGATTTCTGTGAGTAATAGTACATAGCAAATGGAGAAAAAACTCTTAGAAGGACACTTAAATAGCCAAGTAGCACTATTGAATCAATTTCAAACAATCTTCAGTAGTATTTACAGACAAAGATATCATCAGTTTTACATTTCCATTCCACCATTTGCTGCAAAATTACTCACTGAAGATGGCAATTCTGTTGCTGGTAGATTGTTATGGCAGGGATATGAGGCTGGCTCTAATGATGGCTTCTCGACTGAATTTCTTTTCCTTATAGATGAGATGTTTTGGTGTTGATGTTTTGGTGTTGTTTTGTTTCTTTCCGTTAACCGTCAAGTGGGAAATAAGTATTTTTTTGTGTGTTTCTCTTAGTATCCTAAGATACTGTTATGTTTGGCTGTGAAAAAAAATTATTATGAAGGGCAGACCATCTATTTTATTTTTTATTTTTTTTAGAAAGGGGCAGGTCACATAAGATTTTATTCTTCTCCCTGCTCCTTTTCGCTCAATGGTGTTTTGGTAGAGTCATGTTTTCTTGGCAATTATTGTACATTTGGTTTTGCGTACCATGAGCGGGACAAATAAAAAGGAAATGAAATGAAAATGAAGTAAGATTGAGATTACAAATCGTGAGGATTTTGTTTGACATGAAAGTATACTATGTCTTTAGTTCCCAGAAGAACAAACCCTACTTCTCAACTGCATTACCGTACTATAATTAGTCAAATTGACAAAAATGGGGCGAAGCCTGCGAGCTAGTTCAGGCAGTCAACTCGAGCACTTATGCTGCATTCATACATAACGCCCTTGCCACTCTACAACCAACCAAACAGAGTCTCCTTAATATGCCGCTCTATTTAACCTGCCAGTTCTCTCTCCATGCATTGGTTGCTGCTGCTATTGCCGCAGCTACCTTTACGTCGCTGCTGCTTGCCTGCCCCACCACCACCCAGGCTTCCACCCCAGCTTCCACCTGTAGGCTCGGGGGTTAGTTATTTGATCATCACTCATCGTGCTATGTATATCTGTGGAGTGATGATGCCCGAGCCTAGTCGCCAAACTCAACTATATGCTGCTTCTAATAAACATGTTAAAGAAACACGTGAGTTGTCTGACTGAAATAACATAATGCACTTGGATTACCTCTCAAGCCAAATGCATGTCCCTTGAGGATTTTCCTACTGAACTAGAGCTGCCTGGAAATGGAAAAATAAATGCATTGATGGGTTTTTGGAAAAAGTGTCTAGTCTTAAGGCATTTTCTGAAACGTCCTTTTCTTAGATATGACTTTTAAAATCTTCCCAGACCAATTTTTCTCCTGATGTTAATAACTCAAGGACAGACTTGCCTTTTGGTACTTTGAGGTATTGTAACAGAAAATCTAAATCATCAAACAGGATTTCCAACAGAATTTCAAAGCAGAGGTGGGCTGCCAGGCTTCAAATTGCCTCAGAAGTTAGAAGGAAAGGAATAAAACACAAACCTTCAGATAAAAAGAACAACGTTTTTACCACCTGATGTTGCCTGTGGGGAAATCAAATCAGAGGTGCTTCATTTAAATCCTGTCATTGTCTCATGCTATATTGTATATCTCTTTTAAAAGAAAAAAGGCATAAAAAAAAAGAAAAGGCAATAAAAAGGAAATACAAGATTCTTGGAGCGAGTGTATAGAGAATGTCTTAAATGTAGAGATGAACTGTACTGGAGAACCAAAGTGGAAAGTAATTGTCTAGATATGCTGCCTTTACTGCTTTGCCTAGCATCTTCTTTTAAGTGTAACCCAATATGACTCACAGCTCCAAACTCACTCCAAAAAGTAGAATGTGATAGAGTACTAAGAGTAGCCCTCCTTAGTCTTACAAGAGCAGGAGTTTGCACCACTTTATTAGAATGGAAAATCACACCAAAGTGTTTCCAAGTACTAGTAGCTGTGAAATACATGGTGTCACTCAAAAGAAGAAAGCAACAAACAGTTACCAACCATTTCAGTGAACAAGACGTGTCAATTTGAATTATATTAAGCGGTCCACGTCTTTCAGATAAGAACTTGCATTTATGTTTTGTCTGATGCTGCGGGTCTAGATTTTATAACTTTGAAATGGGGATGTTAACACCAAAGCTTTAATGCACACAGTAAATGAGGGAACTGTAAAAAAATAAATAAAAAGGAATAATGTAAACTATATCATTACCAAGTTTGACTCAAAGTTGCTCCTGTATTTCCAGCAAGGATCATTATCATGAATTGCATTGAAGTGAAAAGGAAAAGAAAGCAGAGGAACTGCCACAAAATACAAGAATAGCACGGACCACTGGACTGCACACCAGCACTTGTTCTCAAGACGTGTTGAAAATAAAGGAAAGGCATTATGCTGAAGCATGCACTAGCCTGTTCACACGTGTATTTATTCTATCTTCCCCAAAATACAAATACTAGTATCTCAATTATGAGTAGATTAATCATGATAAATCACAGATTATTAGGTCCAATTATAGATATTTCCTGACAGTTTCATCAGTTGACAGCAGAGACAAACTCCTGAAGTGTCTGAAAAAAAACAAAGATCTTACTGTAGTTGGAGTGAACGTCATCAATATCCTTCTCAGACTGATTCTTTGTGAAAACCATGACCTGCAACAAATTAGAATTGAGAAAATAAGACAGGACGATTAGCATTGACTAACAGTCCTTAAAGAAATAAACATATGATAACATAATATTTAGAAAGACCTTTCCTGTAGTTTGGTTTAAATTATCAATGGTAGTCTGTATTGTTTTTTGCAAACCTGCATGCAATGCATGTCATTCTAGTCCAGGGTTCATACACTTTTTCACCAATGACTTTTCCATGACTTCATGACCTTTACCTAATTTTCCATGACCAACAAAATTACTCTTTCTCAGCGGTACCACTGAAAATTGTTTATTTTAACATGGAACAGGAAAATAAGGTCTGCATATGAAACATGTTGTGCCTATCTAAAACAAATCAAATAGGCTTACTGGCTTCTACACGCTAAAGCCACTAAAATCTCTCACCAGCAAAACACCTCGTCAGTTAAATGCCATTTTACGTTTCATTATACGATACAGTAATTATTATCATTATAGTATTACTATTTCGGCGATTAGCTAAAATATAAATTATATTTGATGCAACTTTAGTTACATTTCCATGACTTTTCCAAAACTTTGGAAAAATATTGTTTTCCATAACTTCTCCAGGGCCTGGAATTTGCATTTAGAATTTCCATGATTTTACCAGGTTTTTAATGACCGTAAGAACCCTGCTAGTCACCAACTGTTGATAAAGTGACGATCCCTCACTAAAACATGAACATGTTTTAGTGAGGGATCGTCACTTTATCAACAGTTGGTGACTAGCAGGGTTCTTACGGTCATTAAAAACCTGGTAAAATCATGGAAATTCTAAATGCAANAAAAAAGTTTTATACTAGAAAAAAAAGAAAAAAAAATTTATTGGTAAAGGAGGAACCCGCAGGAGGCGCGGGGCGGCAGTGCAGAGAGGACCTAGACTTTATCTCACCTGTTGATCTCGTAAAAATGTCGCCCTTCTATCGAAAACGAATTCACAAGTCAATCCATTAAAATGGAGGAGTACGAAGAGGAAGGACAGAGGTGACCAGTCTTGTGCACAGGTCTAACGAACAAATATTTGACACGCCGGGTGTGAATGTCTCGTGTGTCCCGTGAGGTTGACCTTTTTGTTTTAAACCATTTCTTATAATGTTCGTCAGAATCAAATCTTTTTTTCCTTTTGTAAAATTTAAGTATAGTCTATGTAAGGCTAAGGTTAGTAAAAATTCCTAACGGTGGTTTGCCTGGGAAAGATTCAGATATACGTTTGTGTGCTTTTAATGAAAGTGTTTTCATTTCTACCAATAAGAAGTCCACATTACGCGAAATTCGCCCTTACATAATTTTCGAAAGAAAAAAAATTTATCTTCGTTACTCATCACCCGTTCATTACACTAAGTCCCTTACGAGTGTTTTGAGTATAGCTATTGTGGGTATGGACCTTTAGGATTGGTCTATCTTGCGTCTCCAGTTTGTTGTAATTTTGATTTCCATTAGGAAATGAGACAAAAAACATACTTCTTGCATTTACAGAAAATAATATGATACAGTACTATTACGTCTGGGTCTCTGTGTTTCATTAAAGCTCGGCTCTGTGTGTGTGTGGAACGAGCCATTTTTTGTGCGCACCGTTACCGGAGATCGTTGTTAGCTTCTGGTACTAGCGAGCTACGCTAACGGATATAAGGAGTTTTTTCAACAACAAAGTGGAGGAGAGTCCTCTCCTGTCAGACTGTGAGACTCAGTGAGCTAAAGGACTCTCTCAGTGTTATCTCAGTGGGTCTCCATTAATGTAAACAATTATTTTCGAGGCACACAAACATGATATGATCATTATAGTTATACAAAAATAAGAGAATAAATAAAAAACAGGTATGAAATACTATATGACATTAAAAAATGAATAAAGTTTAAAATTGGAGTGATTTGTAAAATATCCATAGAGGAATAGTAAATCTGTTTACAGTTCTATGTTGAGAGATGTATCCATAGATCTCTTAATTTTGCTCTCAAAGTGCACCAGATTGATGCTTTTAACTTCAATATTTAAAAATCTTCTGGCCCGACTTTTTTTTTTCTCCAAAGGGGGGGCCTGACAGAAAAAGTTTGAGAACCACTGGGCTAGCCCCTGATGACTTAATGAGAGAGTATTGAAGTGACGTGTAACACCAGAGGATATTGGTCTTCCTGATTGAACTTGCGCTGAGCTACATTTGTCAAGCAAAATACATTTTTAAGATTTTTGGAAAATTAGAATGATGTGAGAGGTGTAAAGATTTGCACTGATCTTATCAAGATGCCATGTCACAATTACTAAAAAAACATATACAGATCTATTTATGTATTGTATTAGTGTTTAGACTGGATCTACTCTACTTGCTCATGTAGTGGCGTTAGATTGCATCGCAAAAATGTAAAAAGGAAAAACTACTTTTTCATGGTTGATGAGGCTACACCAGCAGTTTTCTCTTACTTCCAGTGTACAGTATATGCCAGACTATGTACTTTAAATGTCCTGGATCTACAGTTTGTATATTCCTTTTGGTGTAAAGAGATGACACTTGATTTATGTCTCAGTGTAAAATGATATATATTGCTAAGTGTTGGACTGTCACTTCAAGGTTACAAATGAGCAATTGATGTACATCATTTATTAGACCGCGTCTGTGACATAATTTGAGAGACTGATCCTTGTCAGTGGCCTTTAAACATTATCCAAGATGTCCATGCATCATATAAGAGGTTCTGTCATACTGTAGGTGATTTTTGAAGCAGTGTAAAATACTTGATCTGGAGCAAACCTTCAGGTATGAGTTGCTGAAGTTTTTATATTCTGGTCATATCTAACCAGCTTGCATGAGAAGGATTCCCCTTGATACCAACCTTAATAACTTGCACTAAATGTCTTAAATTCAAGAGAAAGTATATAATATAAAATAAAACATTTGACAGCCTTTCTGAATTTAACAGGGTTCTAGAGTATCAGAGGTTGGTCCTCCACTCGGCTGATGAATTGCAACTCCCTTCCATTTATTCATTTTATCACCCATTTCATTTTGTTATGACCTCTGCCGAAGTCATATCATTTTTAGAAAAATATGATACTTTCATGTAGTGCAATCAAATGATTTTCTGAGCCATCAGCCACTATCAGGCATTATCAAGTTGTATCTGGTGATAATTGAATCTAATAAAATAATCCTATCCATATGTCTGTTGCAGCTCTTTAGACAATACGAGAAGTCCAATGACGAAGGTGGTGTACAACCTGCTGTCCATGCAGGAGCTGAAGAGGAGGCTGAAGGAGTGCCATCTCTCAATGCAGGGTCCTCGAGACCAGCTGATCAAAAGATACCAGGAGTTTGTCCAGATATACAACGCCCAGTGTGATTCACTAAACCCAAAACCAGGTGAGGGCATTTGTCCATTATTCCATAGGGGTGATACTGTATTCATTTGCATTCATGCGTGTATAGGCCGACTTACATGACTTGTCTATGCATCTAATTGGATTATATAAACTCAACCACAGTGATATAGTGTGAGGAAAATGGTGTTGACTGAATCACTTAAACATCCCCTCACAGTTCTCATTATACATGCGTCTTAGTTTCACACCACTTAGTGAAATCTTCACAGCCCACAGCAATATGCTTAGCTAGACACTTTATATATGATGAATAAGCACGCCACCTCCACCAGATTCAACCTATGGAGGTCTGAGATCACTTTTGTGTTTTAAACCTTTTTATTAAAACTAGAACATTTTAAGATGTGTGCACAAAATTGATCTTACTGGTGTTTTTAAACTGCAACCTAATTGATCAAAGGCTTTTTAGTGGTTTGAGTGCACATTTCATATAAAGGACAATATTTGTGCTTTCTTCTGTCAACAGCTGAAGATATTGCCAAAGATGTGGAGTCCAACGAGAAGATCAGGAATCAACTGAAGGCTAAAACCAAACCTGTGTGTAGTAACTGTTTACTGGGTTTTGTGTGGGCTAGAATTCCATGTTGTTTTTCTTAAGATAATGTATTATGCCACTTGTGCGACTGTAGAACATGTTTTAGTGAGGGATCGTCACTTTATCAACAGTTGGTGACTAGCAGGGTTCTTACGGTCATTAAAAACCTGGAAAAGTCATGGAAATTCAAAATGCAAATTCCAGGCCCTGGAGAAGTTATGGAAAACAATATTTTTCCCAAAGTTTTGGAAAAGTCATGGAAATGTAACTAAAGTTGCATCAAATATAATTTATATTTTAGCTAATCGCCGAAATAGTAATACTATAATGATAATGAATACTGTATCGTATAGTAATGAAACGTAAAATGGCATTTAACTGTTTAGATAGGCACAACATGTTTCATATGCAGACCTTATTTTCCTGTTCGATGTTAAAATAAACATTCCGAGTAATTTTTTTGGTCATGGAAAATGAGGTAAAGGTCATGGAGAAGTCATGGAAATGTCATTGAAAATCATTGGTGGAAAAGTGTAGGAACCCTGAAATATGAAATTAGCTCCAGTACAACCAGGTCAGACAATGCAATGCTGCCTTAATGAAATGTTAATGCATCAGTAATGATAATTATATAATCAAATATGTTGTAACAAAACACTGACAGGAACCACTCTTAGTTATGAGGGTGTTTTTTGATACTTTGTGAAGCCTGTGGATTCAAACTTTCTGGTGTTAATGGGAATAAAAAACAAGCTTGTAAATATTTGGTGCTAAGGTTTATTTTTCCACACTAGTTTTTCAACAACCCATACTGTAAATGACCACAGCCAACGACAAGATATTTATTTTTTATTTCAACACAACACGAAAAACAATTGCTAACATATTAAATGATATATTAAAGTAAAAACAGAGATTTTATCTAATAAATATACAACAGAAAAACAGTAATTATGGCTGGCCTGGGTAACTTAATAAAACAAAATCAACTGTTAGCCAACATTTCTAAAATACGATTTCTTTTTCCTTTTTAGTGCTGATGTCTTTTGAGCTGAGTTGGGACATTTGGACCTCAAAGGTTTTATTGAATGCGCTGTAGTCCACACGGAAACCCCCTTTCTCCAAAGAAATGCACGACTCAAATCTGTGTCCCCAGAGGACCTCGTCCTCGGTGTAGGACGTCCTCGCCTGGCACGTCATACCTGCAACACAAACAAGCATTAGTGGATGACGTAAATGTTACTTTGTTGGGTAAAAAAACATGACATTCAAATTCATCATTTGCATCGGGACACATGTGCTGTTTAAGGTTATGCTCAAACAAGAATATGTCCACTAATGTATATATGTTTTTTGCTATTTTTTGGCGTACTATCCACATTTTGCAGACATTTCGACCAATTTAAACCAAGCTTTTTCAGGAACACTCTTTGGTCTTGTTTCTCAGGGTTGATTAGAAAAACTAAACTTTCCAAAAACACACATTTTACTTTCATAAAGCGAGCATTATCAACGGGGTCAAAAGCAATATTGAGGATACTTCACTCAATGTGAATGTTTCAAACATAAATACCATATTTTAAGTTAGTACAACATGTATTTCATTTCAAATCAATTGACGCAGAAATATGAGTTGAAGTTGCACACGATATTAAAGTGACGATATTATCAGAATAATTATGTAGACACAACTCATAAGAATTATGTTTTACATTTACATTTTTATCTTGCAACCATGCATCAAATTAAGTAATGGTAAAAGGTCTGAATTACTTTTAGTGTAAGTGATCAGAGTAGCATGGTATTACCACATCTATGGACAATTTAGCTCTTCTTTCTATACTGTTTATATTTGATATCATATTTTTCATTTTATATTTACTTTGAATTTTTAGTTTAATTCTCTGTTACTCTTTTAAAGTATATTTTATTTTATGTCTGAACACACTGATGCTTCTTCTGTAACAAAATAATTTCCTAAATTGGGATCAATAAAGTATCTATCTTTTGGGACAACTGAAAATGCACTTTTCAAATGTAGCTGTGATTCTATGGACACTACTAGTTGTAAGACAGCACACTGTTTAAAAACCCACCGGATGCTTCCACGATGCCCTCCAGGATTACGATGATCTCAAAGCTCTCCCTCTTCAGCCGCTCCGCTCCCACCTCCCAGAAGGGGCTGTTTTCATTGATGAAGTGTGTGATGGTCTGCGGCTCCACCAGCAGCAGCCGGTCCCCCCCGGTGTCGTAGCCCAGATTGATTTCCGACTGCTCCAGTGGGATGAACTCTCCCTCCTTGGTCTGCCTGGACTTGATGAGCTTTGCGCGGATCTTGGCGTCCACCATGTGGCTCGCCCTCAGATCCCCGATGCGGAAGAGCAAGCACAACTCCTCGTCCCGCTCACATATGACGCAGTGCTTGCTGAAGATCAGAGTCTGCGCTCTCTGCTGGGGCCGGGAGATTTTAACAAACATGCAGCCCACCATCAGGGCGTCGATGATGGAGCCGAGGATGGACTGCACCATCAGGAGCACCGCGCCCTCGGGGCAGTGGGCCGTCACCATCCTGGAGCCGTATCCAATAGTCCTCTGGCTTTCTATTGACAGCAGCAAGGCTGAAAGGAAAGTGTCTACATTTTGGAAGCACGGATTCCATTCAGGGTCATTAACATGTGCAATATCGTCACGCAACCAGGCACCAAAGTGGTAGATCGCCCCAAAGGCCACCCATGTGAGAATGTAGCACATAGTGAAGACGAGGAGGAACCAGCAGAACTTGAGGTCCACCAATGTGGTGAAGATATCAGAGATAAACCGGCTCTTTTCTATAATACGTCCTTGGGTGACCTGGCACTTTCCATCCTTGGTGACATAACGCTGCCGCTGATTGCTGACGGTGACATGTGAAGAGTGGTCGTCCCCGAGAAGCTTACAGCGCTTCTTGTGACTCCTCGCGACATTCAGCTTCTCGATGGCAGACACGGGAAAGTCTCTGCTGCCAGCGGAGCTTCTGGATTGCCACCTGGAGCTGAAGCGCTTGAGGTGTCGGCTGCGATGCCAACGGTGAGGCTCGGGCCTCTCTCCTTCTTCCTCCACTGGCTCCAGAGGAACTGCTTGGATCATTTTTGTTTGTGGGAGATCTTGCTCAGAATAAGCGAGTGCATGGGAGGACTGGCTGCAGGGACTCAGGGAGGGAGAAGCCTCACGAGATGGGGGGAGTGATGAGCACTTTACATAGTTCAAGTTGTGGATGAGAGAAGCTCTTTTTGTGGTTATCATGGCGGCGACAGAGGATTTAGCTGTATCCTAAAAGGGGGGGAAAAGTACAATATTCACAAAATGCAAAAGTAAAAAAACAGTAATTAGATTGAGAGGTTGATTCCTAACAAAGGCTCTCCAGTTATAAACAATCCTTACAAACGTGGCTCTGGATACTGGTGATGTGGCTACACTGTGCCAGAAACAGGAGGCCAGCAAGAGCGCACACAATTTGAGGTTTGTGAATTATTAACAGTGGGGATGGAACCGGATTGATTTGTTCACTTACTACCAGCAAAATGCTCCATTAAGTACTATTTTGGTCATGTATTTTTTGATAATCACCATCAGGGGAGCACTGGTTCAATCCCCACTGCAGTCAGCAGGTCGTTGTGTCCTTGGAAAAGACACTTCGACCCAAATTGCTCCTGTAGGAATGCCCACTGTACTAAGTATTTTTGTGTGAAAGCGACTAACAAGTGACGTGTAATGTAAGAAGCTCAAAGTTAAGTAACAAAAACAACTTTTTCAACAAAGAAAGCTTTACCTTGTGTGAGTAAGGGGTGTAGCGGATGGTTTCTGACTGAGGTCGGGGAAGGTATGCCAGCAGATGTTTAGCAGTGAGGGTCTGCGTTGCGGGGATGGTGTTCCTGCGTGGCTCGATCCTAACAGGGCTTCTTCTTCGACTGTTGAACTCAAAGCTGGGTAACGTCTCTCTGCTGCACATCACCGTGGAGAGCATCGCTGATGTCCTCAAGGTGTTGATTTACCCTCAGGTTGTGCCCCTGCTGCAAAGATTAAAGGCTTTATTGTCTTGTCTTCAGCAGCTCCTGCGTTAAAGGTCCCATGTCATGTCATTTCTACTGATCATAATTCCATTGTTGAGGTCTACTAGAATAGATTTACATTGTTCAATGTTCCAAACTCACATTGGTTTCTCAAACAGCATCTCTGTATAGTATGTGTATTCACTCTCTGTTCTAAACGGCTTGTTGGAGCTCCTTCCTGCCCCCCCCTCCCTGTGTGCCCAGTGTGCTCTGATTGGTCGGGACGTTGCGAGGCTCGCTGCTCAACCATCGCCGAACACACACACCCGCAGCCTGGCTGGGAGTTTTTGTGGCGGTGCCCAGGCGAGTTCCGCGGTGTGTCGCCAAGCCCCACACAGACATGGTCAGCTCCTCGCCAGCAGCGAGGGCCTCGCAACGTCCGCCGAGGTGTGTTGGTGTGAGGAAGTCCTGCGATTGGGTCCAAATAGTTATCGGTCTGTCGGTGGTGTGGTTTGTTTTAGTGGATCGGGGTGGTTTATGTCTTATATAACCGATGAAGTAATCAATGGAAAATTATGAAAATTCTCTTCAATGTGAGTTTTTGTGGTATTTGTGCGGTGTTGTCTGTGTTAGAGTTTACTCGCTTTTGGTCTTAGGGGTTAGCTTTGAGGTTCTTGATGCTCTGCAGACCGTTGTTCAGCTAGGATGTAGAAACTGTTGTCACGGTTTGTAACACACTCTTAAGGGTGGTGGGAGCGGTAATATGAGCGCATGTAGTAGTCGTGGTGTAGTAGATCCTAAAAGCGTGTATGGCATTGT